CTTAATTTAATTAATTTTAGTTAGTTTAGTCTTATTACAATGGATTCGTTTTATTTTCCTTACATCACATTTAGGATGTAGTCTTAGTCCATTATTATTTTGGCATCTTTCAGTTTGTTTCCTAAAAATAATATAATTGCTATTTAATCCTGCAATTGCCTTTGAGATTTTATCATGACTATTTTCCCTCATGAAACGATTTGTGTGAAATATCATAAGTCTCTCTCAGAACTGCTGTCCCTTGGATCTATAAAACTTGAAGATGAATAAGACTTAAGGGTTATTAAATACTATTTCAGAATTCTCCCATAACCATGATTTCCATTCTTGATTTTTTTAAAAATTTAACCTCAGTGTCCAAAATCCCTGACCTTACAGCATGTCTACAATGTCTTGAAAATTCTATAAATGTCTGGTTATGTTTCTTTCTTACAGTCCTAAACTTTAATCAATAAGTTCAGCAACAAGCTCATAAGCGTTAAACATTGCCCTCTTAACAGTTACACAGTCTGCAGACTGCTCTTCTGACAGACTGGTGTATAAATTCATAGCTATACCTCGGAGGATACTTTGTAACATTAAGGTTCAAGTGTATTTTCAATTTCAGCTGCACAGTTATCTTTTTGAAGGAGGTTGAAAAACTTTCAGCTTTGTTTTCTGTAAATTTAGGCACTAACAAAGATTTGTAGTTGAATGAAATTCCTCATTAAAATGAGAATCATCCTTTGAGCAATGATTTTCTCTTATGTTCTTTAGTTTTTGTTCATTCAAACCATATTGTCTGTGCTTTAGCTTTCTCTGGCTTTAAGCTTCTTAAATTTCATCTCTCTTTCCATTGCTGTTTCTTTGTTTTGCTCCTGTCTTGCCAATTCAAGATTTATTATTTCCATTTCTCCATTTTTTAAAAGTCAGAAGTCACACGACACCAGGTTATAGTCCAACAGGTTTATTTGAATTCACAAGCTTTTGAAACCCTGCTCCTTCATCAGGTGACTTCAACTGACAAAGGAGCAGTGCTCAGAAAGTTTGTGTGTTCAAATAAACCTGTTGGGCTATAGTCTAGTGTCGTGTGACTTCTGACTTTGTCCACCTCAGTTCAACACTGGCACCTCCACATCATCCTTTTTTTTTCCGAAGAAGGGATATCCTCTTTCCATTTCTTTATCCTCTCTTTTTCTTATAATTCAAGTGCTTTAATTTCTCTTTCACTATCTTTTTCCTTTAATGTATTTCTTTTCCTTTCTAGCTGAATCTTAGCTAATTTCAACTACGGCTCATCACTTTCACGTTTCTCACCTTTTAACTTGAAATGATGAGTAATCACATTAATCATATCATCAGTTTGAGGCCCTCCTTTTTATTTCTACCTAGAATTTATCTTTTAACCCTCTCAGTTTAGCTTTAGTCAATAATTTAAATAATCCACCTTTACAGCTTCTACTCCCAGAAAATAATCTTAACAGCAGTCAAAGCCATTTTTAAATTCCATTCTATGTCATACACTCCACAGCGGTTCCTATTTCTATGCTCAGTTCCTTCACACAGTTTTTTCTTGAAAGATTCACAAATACCACTTCAATTCAAAAAATTTTTAGTCATGGTCAAGTTCTCCATTTGTTATGATCCCATTTGATCTTACTACTGAACAAGTCAGATTGCAAAGTGAACCAAAACTTGTTAGGTCTTGAATGAGTTGCGGTTTACCTTCCACATGCTGGAGGAACAGCATCTTATTGCCCACTTAGGCTCTTTACAGCCTTCAGGACTCAACATTAAGATCAATAACCTCAGACCGTGATTTGGCCTTACCAAAATGCAACACCTCAAATTTATCTAAATTAAATTTCATCTGCCACTCCTCGGCCCATCTGATCAAGGTCCCATTGTACTCTGAGATAATCTTCTTCACTGTTGACTAGGCCAACAATTTTGTTGTCATCTGCAAACTTACTAACCATCCTTCCTATAAGCACATCCAAATCATTTATATAAATGACAAAAAGCAGTGGACTGAGTATCAATCCTTGCAGCATACCGCTGGTCACACACTTAATTTAATTAATTTATAGTCTGTCCAGTCTTATTACATTGGAATCACTTTTATTTTCTTCACATCACTTTTAGGATCTAGCCTTTCTCCATTATTATTTTGGCATCATAATCTCTGTCCTCTATTTTGTTTCACCCCCTTTATCCACACACCTTCTGTGTCTTATTTGTGTGTGTTTGCTTTCAGTGCAGCTGACATATTTCTTGCTATTAACATGTATTCTTCATCTATATCTCTTCTCTGCTACAACTAGTGCTCCCTTGGTCTTTTGCTCTGGAAACCTTTGCCATCTCTTCCATTTTATTCTCCTCCCCACTTCACTAAAGCATAAAAGCCATCACTTTTCCAGTTTCATTCAGTCGTGAAGAATCATTTTGGATTCAAAATATTTAACGTTTCTCTCTCAATGGATGATGGCAAACCTGCTGAGTTTCTCCAGCATGTTCCTTTTTTTTATTATTGCTAGCTCTGAACTTGATTTTGTTTTCAAGTTCAGTTGGAATTCAATAACCAAACATATTCACAAGAGGAGAGAATGAAATTTTAGCACAGAAAAACAAGCCAAAAAGAAACATGGAGCGTACTACACTAGACCAACAGAAAACTTGGAAAGATTTCGTTGTGGACATCAGAAAGAAATTGAACTTCGCAGCATTCCTTTTATCCCAATAACGTCCTTTCTCAACAGCAATTGGTTTCCTCACAGCGAATTTACTTAGTCATTTGATGCATTTTTCCCTCTATCTGGTACATGGGACATTGTATCAGTATTCCAGGACACTTGAAGCAAATTGCCAAAGAACTCATTATTACTTATAACTTCAGAACAAATAAATGAGTTTCATAAACTCAGCTGTCTAACTTGTTTGCCTCCACCTTCTGGCACATGTATATAAATATAGCCTGATCTGGAATGGTCTGTTTGTCTGTGTCTCTGACCTCCCATTTCAAGGCAATTGCTGCTTTAATTCCCTGTCTGTTTTCTTTAAAAAAAAAACACATTGAACTGTTTATTCCAAGGATTTAAAATGCATGGAAAAGAAGTAAAAAAAAAAAAGACTCGCTGGCACTGCTACAGAGCAAATATGAAAAAAGTCTTCCCCTTCTTTACATACATAAATATAAATTCAACTTAAAGTTATATATTGGTATTAACATAAGGTTAATTATAAATAAATACTAGCTAGAATTTACATGACATTCAAAGTTCTGGGGTCTTGATGTTCAACTTTGCTTTTACATGATAAAAACAAGTTGCCTGCTCCAAAATATAAACCAACTATCATGTAAAAATGCCACCAAAAATATTTGGTTAGGATTGCATGGAAATTAATTTTAAAAGATTGTAGAAAGATATTTATTTAGTCCTGTTACGTAAGCACTGACTGATGCTACAAGTATGAAGTTTATAGGAATGTTTTCTTCCAAACGCTTTGTTTAATTCAAGGTAAAATGGAAGAATGAAGGCAATCATCTGAATTCCGAATTCTGAATGACAAGTTGACAAGTTTAGATGGTTTGGTTGTTCATGGTTTAATGATTTAACCTAAGTTGCTTTATTGACCAAATGGATATTATATTCATACCAGTAAACAATGACTAATTAGTTTTGCTGATAGTGGATAGAACTTTTGTATCCAAGTCCCAGGAATATATTGGAAATGGCATGCAATGTATACAGTTATACTTCAGACTATTTAATTCCGAGAAAGAAAAAAAAAGGCGTCCTGGAGGCTAGCCAGTAAGCATTTCCACTAGGCTATGAGGCCTATGCGGTTCACAGTGTGATAAAGATGGGCTTTGAGAGGAAAAGAGTACATTGGAAGCCACTGGGATCAGGTGAAGGTTTGCTAAAAATACCATTTAACATCAAAGGCACGGTCAGTCTGCAAGCATCAGAGGGAGAGAAATAAAGGTAGATAGTCTGTATTGTTGACTAGACAGCATTCATGTGGGAGCACATACTTGGACTAAAAGGAACCAACTTAAATGTTTGAACAAGGCTGAAAGATTGGCCCAGTTGGGGCAGGGGAAAGAATCTTCAACTTGTTACTTAATGTGAGAGCCAGTTCCAGGACCAGATGTTTTACACTGGAAGTGGGAAAGAAAGGAATTCCTAGGGTGTTGAGAATCATGTTGGACGAGTTCTGAAAGTATAAAGTGTTTTTCCAACCAATGAAATAACCATGGGGAGACTTTTTTGGTTATTTACAATATTAACTAAAAATTCCTTTCTGTAGTTTAGACCATAAATACCTATGAAAATAACATTTCATCAATGTTACTTTTAGTCTGTTACAGCACAGGTCTTAAACTTGAAAACTTGTGTTATATGTTCAGTCAGTTTGTTTGAAATTTTTTAAAGGTATTTGTCTTTACAGGGATTGGAAAAGTGAGAATCTAATCTTGGAACTTTTTACATTCTTTTATTTTCAGTCTGCTCAGATGAGTAAATATCAATTTGGCAGAAAGCATCAATTATTATTTGAACATTTTCAAACCAAGAATAGTTCACTGGAGCAACGCTGAACTTTAAATGCTAAAATTTTTATTAGCTTAAACCTTATTTATTTCATTCAGAACAAAAACCTACTTACTCTCATAAAATGGAACATAATGCTACACACACCCTTATTTGTTTAAATATAATACACTACTCATGCAAAATTACAGAAAATGTTCATTTTTTTACAAATTGAAAGTCACAAAATGCACTTGTACTGATTGACTTAGTGAATAAAAATCACATATCTTATTTGCAAATTTAGTTTAATTTTATTTTGTCCAAATGTTGTGCAAGATGCTCTAGCAATATACAATTTAAATGAACGCAAAGCATACATTCAGCTTTAGTCATTCATATGCAAGGTTTGACTATACTGAAAAAATATTAAGCAGCACAAAACTGGTTTTAACCCTACTCAGATATTAAAGTTAACTTAGTACTCACCCCTCTGCAGCAGAAATAGTCCAGGACAAAGACAGAGATAATATGTTAACCATGACATTGATGGCAATTTGAAATGCCAGAAACAGGAAAAAGAAAAGAAAGGACCAAAAGTAGCAGCAATACCACTTTATGCAAAGAGAGATCTCCAAATGCTCCAAACAGCTTCCTGTCTGATTATATCTGTCAAGAACTTGTTTGTAGCAGTCTCCAGCCTGATTGGTTGTAGAATGCAGTTGGATGTCACAATTTCACAATTTTAAAGCAAAAGAACTCAAGCTACAAGTAGTGGTGTGCAACATTCTAATTACTCTGGCAACTTCTGCATATAAAATTTACTTCCATTATTTAAACATTTATGGCCACATGGGGCCTCAACGATCAGTGTCAGAACAGACATAATGGAGACATTATATGTAGGGAAAGGGCATGTTTAAAATTATATAGAGAGGTGGAGAGAGAAAGATTAAGAGCGGTGCACAATCGAACTTTGAAAGAAATGTACACAGGTACGTGTTTGATGGTTCCAGCTCTAACTGATATTCTAAAATCAGTAAGATTGGGTTCAAGTTCCTTAGTTGCTACTGGACAATTTGTTTTTAAGAAAATTAATGTGATTTTTTTTCTCATTTCCAAGTGAAAGATTGTCTGCCACTACTAAGAGCCTGCCTGTCTTTCCTCCTTGTATACAAGAACAGCTTCTTCCCTGCTGTTATCAGGCTTTTGAAAGGACCTCTCATATATTAAAGTTGATCTTTCTCTGCACCTTCTCTGTAGCTGTAACACTATATTCTGCCTTCTGTTCTATTACCCTAATGTAGTTATTTAAGGTATGATTTGCCTGAATGCGTGCAAAACAATACTTTTCACTGTATCTCAGTACATGTGACAATAACAAATCAAATCAAAGCAAAGCAAATAAAATTCTGCCCTTGTTTCTGAGGGTTGGGATATTGGCTTCTATTAAATATGTCTACACTTATGGACAAAGTATTGCTGTGGTTGCCATCGCCTTCTGCAGGATAGCTGATGAGAAAACTCATTCTGTTTTCTTGGAAGGACTTATAAGCTGATGATTAACCTGTTTAGTCATGTATGAATGGAGCTTCTATGACCATGCAGTCCTGATGTGGGACTAACTGAAGCTTCTGGTCCAGAGTTAAGGATGCTTTTATATGGTGCCAATAGGACCTCCTCCACTGTGATCAGGAAGTCTAAAAAGATAAAGAAAAATAATTGTTTCCAAATGAAAAGTAACAGGCAGATTTCAATACATCTTTAAAAATCTCAAACCAACCACAACGCTCCTTTAACCCACCTGTTTCTCGGTTTAATGGAGGTAGGGCAAGGGGTAGCAGGCAACAAACCCAATCAGAGCTAGACACTGCATAATTAAAGGTGACTCTGCTTCTCCTTGATGCAAATTGTTGATAGGCAGTTGTAAAGAAACATTATCAAAACGTAACATTGCAGGATGTAGCCTTTGGTGTTTACTTCTTGGTCCATTCATTGGTCTGCCAAATACCTGAGAATGTTGACTTCAGCTTGCGTGGTTAATGAATTGAGGAAAGTGAGACATAATACAATTGTTGCTGTTCTTCCCCACCCCATTTACCTTACCCAAGAGCTCAATGCCTCCTGTAGGTACATGCCTTGGATGCCAGTGCAAGAACATTTCCACCAAGGCACCACCCCTCATATTGGACATTAAGATAGCTAGTTTATCCTGGATGGTGAATAAAAATGTATGGTATATTGTATGTTTTCATGTCATTGGATCATCATCCTTTTTTTTATTCATTCATAGGATGTGGACGTCACTGGCTAGGCAGCAGTTATTGCCCATCCCTAATTGCCTAGAGGGCAGTTAAGAATCAACCACATTGCTGTGGGTCTGGAGTCAGATGTAGGCCAGACCAGGTTAAGGATGGCAGTTTCATTTCCCTAAAAGACATTAGTGGACCAGATGGGTTTTTCCTGACAATCAACAATGGATTCATAGTCATCATTAGATTCTTAATTCCAGATATTTATTGAATTCAAATCTGCTGTAGCAGGATTTGAACCCAGGTCCCCGGAACATTCTCTGGGTCTCTGGATTAACAATCCAGCGATAATACCACGAGGCCATCGCCTCCCCAATCCACTGGACTGTTTCTAGTTAAATAAACTTCATAACAACAACTAGAATAATTAACTAGATTACTTAGCTCCAAGAAGCAATTGTTTTCCACTTTATATGAAAAATTATTGTGGTTTAGTCTTTTAATTACTTATTCAGTCAAGTGACCTGATTACAATTTCTGTCACCAAACTGCACTGCTTGCGATCTGAACTTTGCCACTGTCCTATTTTTGCATTTTCAACATGTTATATGTGTGTGTGTTTGTGTGTGCTTCATATAAATCTTGATCTGATCATCTGCGTTGATACTAGAGTTTACAGAGGACGGTACACAAAACCAAATTTCTATAAGCTAATTAATGCTTTTTATACTTAGATATGGCAGTGTCCCTACCTCTGGGCCACAATGTCCAGTTCAAGTTCCACCTGTGTCATAGCATGTCAGAGCTGATTGATTTAAAATATTTGCATCATATAACACATTTTAAAATAAACCAAAAACGCATTTACACTTTCAATTATCAGCTACTCTTCAGCATCAGATTGGCCTAACAATGATACTGAAGAATGGCCCAATTCTCTCAACCTGCATTGAATCACTACTTGCCAACACAGATCAGACAAAACATTCCAAAAGCAGAAATTGCTGGCAAAACTGAGCAGGTCTGGCAGCATCTATGGAGAGAAATCAGAGTTAATGTTTCGGGTCAAATGACCCTTCCTCAGAACAATTCCTCTGAGGAAGGGTCACTCAACCCAAAACTTTAACTCTGATTTCATTCCACAGATGTTGCCAGACCTGCTCAGCTTTTCCAGCAATTTCTGCTTTTGTTTCTGATTTACAGCATCCACGGCTCTTTCAGTTTTTATTCAGACAAAACTTTGCCCACTTACCTTTCCAAGAGTGTTCCCACTGGACTTCCAAGGCTAGAGCCTTCATAACAGATACAGTCCAGCAAACGCCTTTCATGATGGCAGGAGTGGGACCTTAAGTGGACAATTAGCCCTCAGTTAGCCCCAGGATGGGTGTGCTATTCATGGCTCATTGCTGCTGATAAAATACCACTGTGTGTAGGTAGGTAAGTAGGTGTTAGGCACAGTGCCACTGCTTGGCACCCATTTAACAGCCCCCTTGATGATCAGAACAGTCATGTGAGGATGCAAACTCTCATCCTGTGTCAACTTCGAGGTTAAGCTGGATTAATGGATGAAGGAAAAGTAGAAAAAGTAATAGGGGAATAGGATAGGAAAGCTGCTTTGGATTGGTCATGAAGGATAAATACTGACATGAATTAGTTGGGCCTCATGACCTGTTATCATAGAAATATCTAGAACTTATAAAATAGAACTGATATTTGGAGGTGACTTTGATCTTTTTCTCCTGGTTAGATTTATGCAAGTTAGTCAACTGGTCTTCCAGTAAATCTGATGGCTCTAGCAGTAGCATGCACAACTAATGAATGTACATTGAGAGGTCACAAGTTTGACTCTCTTTTGAGAAATGAAGTAGTGTGAGAACTGAACAGGATGTTTCAATTTCATTACTTGTCATCTTGATACTAAATGTCTATCATGTCATGAATTCTATTTGTGGTGACAGTTAAAAAGAATGGACCGGTTAACTCACACATTTGGCAGGACTATCACATTTGTGATTCCATCTCGACAATGTGCCAATAGCTGTATTGCTTAAAATATCAAATCCTGTTGTTTTAAAAGATCATTTTCTCTGGCTCTGTGAATTTTGGGGTAGGTCTCCCTCCATATCTACTGATTCATTTTCTATCTCTGTGTAATGAGAGAAGACAAAAGAGAAGTTTAATAGCAACAAGTTCTATTCCTCACTGCTTTCTCATGTGATTTGTTTGTAGATGGACAACTCACTGGATGACACCCAGATCAGATTGAAGTACATCCTCATTCTACCAAGACAAGTGATTCAGAGAATTTGAGTCTCACTAGCAAGGCACCATTTGTTGGTTATCCCTAATTATTCTGAAGGAATTGGTTGTGAGCTGCCTTTTTGAGCTAACAAGTCCCAGGTGGTGTAGGTACATCCACAGTGCTGTTAGGGATCTTCATCCAGTAACATTGAATGAATGGCAATGTGTTTCCAGGTCAGGATGGTGAGTGGCTTGGAAAGGAACTTGGAAGTGGTGTATTCCCATGTCTCTGTTGCCTATAACCTCCTGATGGTTCTGATCACATGTTTGGAAGGGTTCATCTAAGGAGACTTAGTAAGTCGCTGCAATGCATCTTCTATTTAGTACACACTGCTGTTACTGATTTCTGATGGTGGAGGGATTGAATAAAGAGCATAGAACAATACAGCATAGAAACAGGCCTTTCAGCCCATTATGTCTGTGCCAACTGTGATGCCATTTGAATAAGAGGTCCTAGAACGAACCCCTGTAGAACATTACTGGTCATGGACCTCCAGTGAGAAAAACACTCCTCTGCAGCCATCCTCTGTTGTCTGTGGCCAAGTCAATTTTGTATCCAAATTTCCAACTCACTATTAATCCCATGTGACTTAAAATTTTGGACTAGCCTACCATGAGGAAACTTGTCAAATGCTTTAATAAAGTCCATGATGGTAGTAATCACTACCCTACCCTCATCAATCATCTTCATCACTTCCTCAAAAAACACAACCATATTTATGAGACAATACCTCTTCCACACAAAGCCATGCTGACTATCCCTAGTAAATCCACTCTTTTCCAATTATGAGTAAATCCTTTCCTTAAGAATATTCTCCAATAATTTCCCTATCATTAATGTAAGGCTCACCATCCTATAATTTGCTGCACCTCTTAAACAAAGGAACAACATTGTTATTCTCTTGTATGCTGGGACCTCGTCTGTGGCTGAAGAGAAACAAAGATCTCTGTCAGGGCCCCAGAATTCTCTTCTCTTTGGCTCCTTCAATATCTTAGGATAGATTTCATCAGGCCCTAGGGCTTAACTACTTTAATGTTTTTCAAGACATTCACACTTCCTTCATCTTAATATCGACATACCCATCACAATCTT